AGCCCTCGGCTAGCCTGAGAGAGCAGCTCCACGCTCTAAGTCCTCATCTGATGCCCTGCCAGCACTGCTTCCAGCCATCCTTAACCTCTGTTCAGGGTCCACTCTGTGTGGACATGCTAGTTCGAATTAGCAAAACGCTAATTCGAACTAGTTTTAAGTCTAGCTGCGCTAATTCGAATTAGCTTAGTTCTAATTAACTAATTTGAACTAAGTTAGTTCGAATTAGCGCAGTAGTGTAGACATACCCAGAAGGAGCTTCTCTGTTTTCATGAGCACCGTACCGACTTGTACCAGCGGTGAATGGTTCTGTGCTTGCGAATGTGATACTTGAAAAAAACAGATGAGGTTGACGCAAAGGACTGATCAATGGACATGGCTCTGTGGGAAAAGGGTCCATTCCATCCCACATGTGCTTTGGAGTCTAAAGCGGTTGTTACGCTTCCCCTTTCAGAATGTGATACTTGAAAAAAACAGATGAGGTTGACGCAAAGGACTGATCAATGGACATGGCTCTGTGGGAAAAGGGTCCATTCCATCCCACATGTGCTTTGGAGTCTAAAGCGGTTGTTACGCTTCCCCTTTCAGTGACGTGCGTGAGCCCGGACCTGGAGAACGGCAGAATGAACGGAGCGCTGGCCCCCTATGGCCCTGGAGACGTCGCGGTGTTGGAATGTGAGCCTGGTTACACCTTGCGAGGGAGCTCTCAGCCTCGGTGCCAAAACGATGGTAGCTGGGATCCTCCTGTCCCCGTGTGTGAAAGAGGTGAGTGTGGCTACAGCTTAGAGTGTCCATTGTATTTTACCCTATTGGATCTTCCTCTGCTTAAAAGCCGAGTGTCCCATCTTTAAACTATTCCCTGGTGTGGGTCTCAGATCAACAGAAACACAGCTTTCCAGGCTAAGGTCTACCGATAACAGACTCCTCCACAGACAAGTGTCTCTAATTCACAGGTGTACAGCCTTCTTGGCTCAAGCCAAACAGGGTCCTGCTGGAGCAAGCCAGTGTAAGAGTTAGCCCCCGGACTGGGGGTAAGGGAACCCGGGCCTTCCCTCTCCACTGGGTCCCGACCCAGCACCCTAAGAGCAGGGAAATGGTCCAGTGCCTGGGTTGGTGGGGATGAGGCGAAACTCACTAACCCCCGTGGGGTAATTCAAGTATTCCCGCCCTGGGTCCCTTTCTACCAAGTAGCAGCTGCTACCCGGAGTTGCTCTCCGTCACTGGAGTTGGGGTCACAGCCAGGCGCCCCAGTCGAGACGAATGCCTCAGCGATGGCTGGAGTGAGGATCTTTCGGCTCGGACTAGCGATCCCCTCTGCCTTGATCTCTATGAAACCCCTACCTGGCCGAGGGTCCTTAGCCTGGGGATGACCTATCCCCTCTGCTGCCGCAAGCATTTCCCCTCCCTAAGGCGGGTCTGAGGAGTCCTGCCCTGCCCTGAACAGAGGTGTTGACTCCTCTGGCCCACTCAGCATCTCTTGTCGGGCGAGTCTTGCTGGGGGTCGGTGGACGGACTTGCTCTAGGTGGGCCCTTTCACCTTCTCCGCCTCCACGCCGAGTGCTCCTCCTCCCGAATCTCCCCCTTCCCCTGGCAATCCGGGGACACATAAAGATCCTGCAGGGGGAATGCTTTGGAAAATAAAGGTACTGGATGTACACTGCATGTCTAACCCACGAAGTTGCTAAGAGGCGAAGAGTAGTGCTTGTGATATTAATGGAAGAGATAAGGGGGTTGGGATAGAGTTTGGGTGCAGAAGGAAGCGTGGGATAGTGGATTTGGGGTCGGGAAGCAGGGTGGGATCTAGGTCGGTGTTTAGGTGAAGAAGGTGGTTGAGAAGTGGGGCAGGGAACTGGGGAGCAGTGGTTTGGGTTGTAATCTAGGACTGGGATTTGGGGTGCTAAGTCTGGGCGGGGACATGGGTGCAGTAGCAGGGATGCGGAGGGTTTTGTTTACATGAGTTAGGGGTCTAGGTGTGCACATACAGAGATGAGGGAGTTTAGGAAAGGGGCTGAGTTGCCGTAGGCAGGCTTTGGATGGGAGATGTTTAACCTAGATGACTCCTGGCCAGCAGCCCAGCAGGTTTCTCAGACAGGCCCCCTGCCTTCCATGCCCCTGCATGACTCTCAGAGCAGCTGCGGGGGCCACGTGCTGCTCTGACTGCTGAAAATCTGGGGACAGCATGCGGGGGCAGGAAAGCTGGCTGAGGCTCCCACAGTGCCTGCAGACCAGATCTGAGAGCTTAGCAGGCCGGATCCAGCTCGTGGGCCGTCCTGTAGCCATCACTGCCCTATGGCTGTGTCTAGACTACATGCCTCTGTCGTCAGAGGGATGTAGATTAGACACATAGTCAAAGGCAAATGAAGCTGCAATTTAAATGATCGTGACTTCATTTACATTTACATGGCTGCCGCGCTGAGCCGACAAACAGCTGATGAGAGCTTAGCAGGCCGGATCCAGCTCGTGGGCCGTCCTGTAGCCATCACTGCCCTATGGCTGTGTCTAGACTACATGCCTCTGTCGTCAGAGGGATGTAGATTAGACACATAGTCAAAGGCAAATGAAGCTGCAATTTAAATGATCGTGACTTCATTTACATTTACATGGCTGCCGCGCTGAGCCGACAAACAGCTGATCAGCTGTTTAGCGGCAAAACGACAAACAGCTGATCAGCTGTTTGTCAGCTCAGCACGGCAGCCATGTAAATGTAAATGAAGCCACGATCATTTAAATCGTGGCTTCCTTTGCCTTTGCCAAAACAACAAATCTAAATGGCTCTGTCGACGGAGCCATGTAGTCTAGACATACCCTATGAGAACACACACACAGAGGAGGGAAATATTTGAAAAAGCATCTGTCTGACTCCATAGGCACCCGGGTTGTGAATTACAAAAACTAGCAACTGATCCCCACGTTCCCCTCCAGCGTGCGGACAGACTCACAAGCCTCAGCCATCGATTCCCACCAGGGTCACACACTGAGTGAGCAGGGCAGATTTGCAGAGTGTGTCCTAAAACCCAACAGGCCTTTACTGATTGGTACCAAGTGCAGGGAGCTCACCTGCCAGCCCTGCACTCTCTATGACAGAGAGGAAACACCAGGAGCCTCTGGTCCCCAGGAACCCAGCAGTACAATGCCACTGGAAAGATGATTTTAGGTAATCTAGAACTGGGATGCAGCCAGTGCAGAGCAGAGGCTCTGCTAGCCAGGCAGGCTGATGCCTTCTGCACCATTTCAGAGGTCCTGTGCGTGGCCCCAGAAATCGAGCATGGACAGCTAGTAGATGGACGTGGCCCTGTCTACAGACCCAGGGACAGGGTGAGGTTTGAATGTGATCCTGGCTACAACCTGGATGGCAGCCGGCAGATTGAGTGCGGAGATGATGCAACCTGGGATCCCCCGGTTCCAGTCTGCATACAACCTGGTAAGTGTGAGTCGAGGGTGATTGCTGGGTCACTGAGATGGTCAGTGTCGGGCAGGGAAGTGCCTGGAGGCTAAAGTATAGACTCCATCTGTGTCCTGGGGTCAGTTTTCAGCTGTGAATGGGGAGAATACAGATATCCCCCTGCCTCTCCTCCCAGTCTCCTCATGACTTCATTACTGAGACAGCTGGTCCCCTGCGTCCTGCCCACCCTCCTGACAGACACAGATCTGCCAACAGTCTGTCTCACTGAGCAGCCTAAATGTGTGAATGGAAACATAGTT